AGGATAGGGACCGGTGGAGGGCTCTTGTGAACACAGTAATGAATCTTCGGGTTCCATAAAATGCTGGTAAATTCTTGAGTAGCTGCAGAATTGGTGGCTTCTCAAGAAGGGCTCAGTTCCGTGAGTGAGTGAAGGGAAAGGTGTTCTGCACGCCACTGAGCTCCGCACGGGTCCGGATACTGCTGAACTGGAAGGCAGAACTGCAGTCTGAATTGCCTCTGCCGACCGTACAGAAATTTATACGCTTTTCAGAATGAGACATAATGAGGAGCAGTGAAGTTGAATGGGCGGAATAAGAAAGCAGCCAGAGAGGGTTTATCAGCCAAGGGCCACGTCGCGAGAGAGACCAACCGACTCTAGTTTATTGGCAGACCAGGCTTCAGTCTGGCTGGCGCGTTGTCTCGTCCCGCGCGACAAGCTGATTGGTCCGGTCTGGAAGCAGAGGCAGAGGAGGAGTCATCTGTCGGCGGACTCCGCCCCACCATTCTGGAGACTATGTCCTGCTTACTCCTAGCTGGCGACGTTGTCGGCGGAAGAATACATGCTCGGGCGACGAAAAGAACGCATGGAGAGGAACTCCTATTCTCCCACTGCCCAACGTGGGGTGAGAGGGGAAGTTATGGGGCGGGAGGGGGAGGGAGAATGCGTGAGCAGAGATAATGCATGCTAGTATTCCTGTATGGAGGTAGTTTCCCTTCGGGAAGACGGTTTTAACCACATAGATGTTACTATTATATTTCTGACAACTACGACGACGACAGCAAAGATGTTTCTGAGATGTCTTCCCCTCGTAGCTTAGAGGACCCTGCAACGCAGCAGTCTCCACGAGAACGGCTTTGCTGAGATTTCGAGAGATACGTAGTGGGAAAAAGGAGAATTTCCAGGAATCATTAACCGAAATAAAGTGAATTTTCATTACGCAGGTGAGTTTGCTTAATATAGATGTTCTGGTGGAAGGCATGCCTCCCAAGCAGGTCCTCATTAGAGCTTGCTTGCGTCGTGAGACTTTCATAAATATTTATATAAACTGTATTTTTCGTTATCTGGAAGATTAATTTATTTGTTACACTACAAAAGTAAACTGTCAGACATGGCACACTCTGTCAATTTCGTAACAATAATTAGTTCCTTACAAATTTCGTTCCATCAGCTGAAACAATATAAGAGGTCTAAGAAAGAATTCCTATGATGCCAGCTGGTTATGTCCCTGATTATAATTACTTTAACTGCATCTGCAAATTAATAGTCTTTAAGCATATATGTCTCTCTCTCTCTCTCTCTATATATATATATATATATATATGTGTGTGTGTGTGTGTGTGTGTGCGTGTGTAATTATTATATCAGCCGCAATAATTGGAAATCTTCCTTAAAGAAACATAACCGAAATAAAATGTAGTTTATAACTGTCATCCATGTTGGTTTATAAAATAATATAACTAGCAATATTAAAATTTCTAGAGTGCCTGTCATCAGTACAGTTTATTTATGAATACAAATACAGACGATAAATATTCATAGACTTTAATAACTGACGAAAACGCTTACAGATCACAACTTTCCAAGTGCACGTGTTCAAATGCATACGACTTAACACAGTTGAAGAATTGTGATTATCAATTAGATCTAGAATAAAATAAGTTTTCCAAAATAAATCGCTATTATGCCAATATCCGGACTTCGAAATTTTAAATTATGATTATGGGATTAATATGAATGTCAGGAAAACGCCTTACAGGGAAGAAATACCCTTTTATACAACTCTTTCTCTTGTCATCAGGTGAAAAGATGACAGTAACCGTACAGGCTGAGGCCGCGCCATAGCTCAAGCGGTTAGTCACTGGCTTCTCACCGCGGCGGCCCGGGTTCGAACTCAGGTCTGGTCAAGTGGGATTTGTGGTGGACAAAGTGGCGCTGGGGCAGGTTTTCTCCGAGTACTTCGGTTTCCCCTGTCAATCTTCATTCCACCAATTGCTCCACAATCACCCTCACCTATCATCTGGGGCTGGTAAAATAGGCCAGAAGTGGCCGCAGTACAAGGGACTTAGTCCCACCCCACTAGCAATAAAAGAATAATACTTATTCTAAGATCCTATGATTAAAGTATGCCCACGCCAAAATGAACCTCCAGAAGAACTGAATAGTTTTCACTGTTACAAAACTGTAGTTTCTTCTAATCCGTCCGCCTCATAGCCCTTTTCATTTTAAGGGCCTGATGCTCACCTAAAACACGTGACGTCTGTAGTATAAAGGCATTTATTACAATAAGGCAGGAAACACGTCCCAATTAACAACATGCAACAGATTCTTTGTGGAGAAGCCTGCTCTTGATCAGCTGGTCATGAAATTGCCCTCCTTTCATAGGATCTGAAATATCATTATCGTGTACACAACAGCAGTGCACTGCGCTACATGCCGGAAGGTCGCGGGTTCGAATCCCAATGAGGTCATTGAATTTTTCAATTTATCTAATCCTTCCAGCCGCACTATAACCCTAGGGTCGACTCAGCGTCTAACAGAAATGAGTACCAGGAATCTTTCTGGGGGGATAAGGGGCGGCCGGCGTTTAAGGCTGACAATCTCACTGCCATCTGTGAGCCGGTTTTCTAGAAAATATGGGAGTCTCGACGTCTCACAACCCTATGGACCTCCGCGACCTGTTTCAGGGATAGCTTTACCTTTTTAATTTGCCTGTTTTACTGATCTTTACTTTTTCTCATAAACACGTGGTATGACAATTCTGAAACCAATAAGAAACGTTTCCTTGATTAATTTTTCTCTTAAATCTGTTATTAATCGTTTAAGATAAGAAGCGGTTTAAATTATAATTAAAAGTCGGCTCCTTACTTGCATAGCCCATTTTCTTTACAATGATAGGCTCTTTACAGATCTTTAATCAAATAATTACTCTTTTTTCTGAGAACCAATCGAAATTGACAGTACGTTTAGAGGACTAAATGTAGCACTATTTAGGGCAAAACAACGGAATTCTGAAGGATCCTGATGATAGGGTATTGTAACTGAGATTATTCAGTTTCTGAGCTTCGTCTATCGTCTAATATTCTGAGAAAACAACGTTTCGGAAACTGATTTTTTTTCCCATTCTTAGGTAGAGAGTGGACGTACACCTACTGAACTGACCCCGCTAGAAATCTATCTACCCATCTACCTATCTAGCTGCCTACGTACCTATCTATGTATCTATCTAATATATCTATGGATCTACAGCCCTATGTTGGACTTTGGCCTTTTTCTCAGTTTCCTAATCCTATACACACTCGGCAGGTCTTCTTGAGCGGGGGATCAGCCCGTCGCAAGGCCGCTACCTACATACAGAACAACACAAACAGAATAAACCCATACAGACATCCATCCTTTGAGTGAGACTGGAGCCCATGATCCCAGCATTCGAGAAAGCGAAGACAGTTCATGCCTTAGACCGCGCAGCCAATGTAATCGACCAGTCAGAAAGAGCTAATCTCAAATGCCATCTAGTGTTAGCTCCTTGCAACGGACACAAGTGAGCAGGTGCCCCTTTGCTTTCACCTGCGGGCGGAAACAGATGCAGTTCCTGAAACATTGTGTTCTTTAAGAAAACTAGACGATGGGTAAAGTCCATTAACTCAATTCATCCATTAAAGGAATGGGCACACATACGTAACATTGGACTTATTTCAGCAATATGCATTGGCTTATTATTAACTGCCAAATCATTCATTTCCAACAAAACTTATGAACACATACCCACACAGTCGCATAAACATACGCACTAGTAAAATATGCAGAAGTCAAGCCAACTGTTAGGCCTGTTGACACGGTATCTCTAGCCAGAGAAACTGAGCTGGCTTTTGCAGAACGCTACAGACTTTTACGGTAATTCGGACCCGAATGCAAGAGACAGAAAAGGGGAGTAGATATGAGTTATTGATAATTGAGCGATACAATGAACTCCAAACCCAAATATGTTCTTTTCCTTCAGCACACGGAATTGGAAAGTTCCATTCATAGTCAATATTTTATTGCGCTTGTAAAATATCTGCTTTTCATTCGCAATTCCCCTACGAGCAGAGCCATTTTCTCGCAAAGTGAACTCTGACACCAAAATGATGATATGTTAAGTCTTTTAGCACATTTTCCAATAGAGAATAAGGCCTAAATATATTTCCTCGTAGGATAGAGAGAATTAATCTAGAGCAAATCCACACACACACATAAGCACCTGCATATAAGGATTGTAGAATATATTGTAATTCAATATTTTATGGTATTAACTCTTCTAAAATATGAATATTAATTTTTATTTCATTCTGCGGTTTATATCTTAAGCAATCATCATGAGAGATGTGAGCTGAATTAGATACCAACTACCAACTCTGTAAGGTCGATACTGATAAACTGAAAAGCGAAAGCTGCATGAAGTATTGATTGACTTCTGTCGTGAATTTCACTGATAACAGATAATAACATTGCCAGATACGGATGGCGAAGCTGTGATCTGAATGGCGAGACAAAAGAATAAGTAGAAATATTTGTAATATTCTTCGTCAAAATTCCCCTCCAGATCAGTCATGTAGTTAACTCTCTTCCTTCCCGTAATTAGCCTGTTCGGAGTTCACAGCATCAAGCGACAGTGTGCTCTAAATGTTATGTTCACGTATTCAAACTCAGTTTTACTTGTGACTGAGTTCTGGTTGGACAATAAGATTACACGGCTTCCAGTACTGAGCAATAAATCGGAAAATATGTGGAAGGAAGTGGCCGCGATCTACTTTTATTTACATTGACGTGGCAATGATGCGGAGACACTGAGGAACCTTACATAAACCTCAGTCCAAATCATCGGTGTCCCGACCGAGTTTCGAAACGGACACCTTCTGGATACAAGCAAGAAATTTTACTGCTTTTACTGCAAAAGACGAAAAAATTTTCAAAAAATTTGTAAATATATCAACTTTAATTCGTTCTTATTATGTTCGATATTTTCGGACAGGCAGAGTATGGATTTCTTCCGTCTTCACCACATGCAAACCGTTTGAGAGACGCACATTGACATTTCCTGTCCTTTGGATATTCTGATGCAGTGAGGTGAATAATGTGTGGAGCTATTCCTCCACCCCCGCCGATCACAGTGACCACGCAGTCTAACGCATGAACTGTCTTCGCTCGCTCAAACACTGAGATCGTTGGTTCGAATCCCACTCGTGGCATGGATGTCTGTGTGCGTTTTTTCTGTGTTTGTGCTGTCCTGTGTGCAGGTAGCGGCCTTCCGACGGGCTCATCCCCCGCCAAAGGAATTCTACCGACTGTGTAGAAACTGAAAAATCAACAGAGGACTAACAAAGAGCTGTAGAGCCACAGATGAACGAATGAATGAAGAGAGAGAGAGAGAGATTACAATTAAACATAAGTGAACATGGCTATGTAGTAATGTAAACGTAAAGGTCCTTCCCCAGTACGCAGAAGTTGGGACAAAACTTTCTGACAGCAAACATATTACACTTTCTCCACTTGTAGAACTAGTGAGATGGCAGTGTTTGTTTCTGCACAGTCCAACAAGTGACCTACTGTAGTGAGTAGCAACTGTTTGCAGTAAGAGTTCACAACGTAAACAGTTATTCATTTCACACACATTATTTAAGCTCATAATATTTTGATGCGAATTACTCATCTTTAACAACTATATCTCTCTCTGTTGAATTTGAGGTTTTCCCCAGCGGTGACCATGAACAGTATTGTCTTTTGGAATCTGACGCCGGGATGTGCGGTAGAATTACAAACGCGTTTCGGAAAAAAAAAGTATTTGCTCCTTCTTCATGGTTGAAAAGTAAGCCAGATGAGCAGCAAGCAGATCTCTGGTTCTTACTGGTTGTTTGTCTTACTCTTTGATCCTGAAGATGGAGGCAGGATGTTCCTCCGAAACGTC